TTATAGTTGGAAACCACTGTTATGTCGTTTAAAGCTTTAGCTGTAAATGAAAACAGAAGCTTTATGTTGTTTCTGCTTTTTCCTGCAAGGTGTGTGTCTTGTGTGGTTGTCCATTCGGGAGGCTGGAGGGTTTTCTGCCCTTTACTACAAGGAAGGGGAAGTATTTACCTGCTCACAACCCAAGTGCGTGGATTAAACCAAAAGTGAAACCAACCCCAAACTACACAGGAACACACTGTGTTAAGTGTGCTGAGTGTCAGTCATGAAAAGCTACACTGCTGTTTATGTAGGCTCTGGTGAAATACTCCAGCAGGAAGTGTTGGCTTGTGTGTAATACTGTGTTCCCTGATGCATTAAGGCCTAATGCAGTTTTGGATGGGGATGCAGGCATCTAACACTGGTACTTTGATTAACACCACTTTGATTGTGCCCTCTCAGACCTTTATAATTGAGGGGTGCATGCGTTTAAAAATGCTAATGCTTATTCTGGAAGAAAGTGGGAGTGGGGATTGCCAAATTCCGGTTCTGAGGGATAATGTCAGTACTGTAGAGGAATGTGTGGACTGTGTTTTGGAGATTTGGGTTTATAATTCCATAGTTAAGGTGGAATTGATCTTCTCTCCTCTTACAGGGCAGACACTTCTTCCTTATATCCAACCTGAACTTCCCCTTGTTTGAACCCACAAATAATAGCTAAGCAACCAGGATAAGACTTTTTGTCTGCATTTCTCTTCTCTTTGGGAAGTGAAACATGTTTTGAAGGAGAACATTAGTGAAATGGTCTTTATTGATGTAACCTCTGTTCACTCACTGAAGTGAAGCTCTTCTGTCATTTTGGTTGTACATCATTTTACTTTTCCTTTCACAGAAAGGAATTGGGCTTCTTTCATTCTATTAGATAAGTGCCAGCAAATCTAAGTTGGGAGCAGTGAGAGATGCAGAGCAGCGGGCACAGTGTGCCCATAGTATATGCCAGCAACACAGTGGAGATGACGAGGCTGGCTCGTAAGCAGCATGGAAAGATGAGAGCAGCAGACATGAAGGATGCTGTTTTGCCTGAGGAAAAAACACTGTTATCCATAAGATACTTAAAGACAGGACTTGTGTACAAGATGAAGAGATCTCTGAAACAAAACACAGATGGCTTCTGAGCTCTGAAACACAAACAGCTGCTGAATCCTGGAGGTTACTCAACTTCATGGTGCTTTCACATTTGAGAGGAAGAGTGTATGCCTGGAAAAGCTTATATCCAGCCACCATCTACACTGAACTGTGGTGTGATACCTTAAGAAAATTTAAGGTCTGGCTTTATAGTTGTGCTCTAAGTGCTCCTTAGAAAATGGCTGATGGTGCTTGCAGATAACTGAACCTGTGGTTACTACGTGGGGAAATGATGTCCTTTTGCGGGAGGCTTTTGAGATATCTTACCCCTAGATAGTAGGACAATCCCACCCTAGCAGTGTACCTTATATTATAGAACCCCAGGCTGGTTTGTGTTGGAAGAGACCTTAAAGCTCATCCAGTTCCAACCCCCTGCCACAGGCAGGGGCACCTTCCACTAGAGCAGGTTGCTCCAAGCTCCTCTGTCCAACCTGGCCTTGAAGCTCAGGCTTGTAGGAGAGTGAACCTGAGATGCAGCACCTTTGGGCAGTAGTGTAGGCTGGGACCTTACTGCATGGAAAGAGGATTTGCAAGGTGTTAGCTCAGTGTGTGTCAGCAATGTGTCCTTGTGGTGATGAGGGGCAACCTCCTGCTAGGCTGTATTAGCAGAAGTACAGCCAGGAGGTTGAGGAGAGCGATGATGTTCCTCTGTTCCATGCTTGAAGCCACATCTGGAGTGCTGTGCCCCATTTGGGCTCTCTGGTACAATAAGGACAGTGGCAATCTGAAAGTGAAGGGCCACCAAGGTGCTCAGGGGCTGGAGCACATGATGTATGAGGAGGTGGTTTTGTTCAGCTTGTAGAAGAAAAGCCCTTCTTCCTGTCCTCATGGGAGGAGCTCAGAGCTGTCTTCAACTAGCTGGTGGGAGAGCATGGAGAAGCACAGCTGGGCTCGTTTTGGGTGCTGCAGAGGGATAGGATGAAGGGCAATGGGCACCTTGCAGTAAGGGAAATTCGGTGAGGTATTAGGAAAGATAATCAGCATGAAGACAATCAATCACTGACCAGGCGTCTAGAGCCTGAAATATCCATCCTTGGAGATGCTCAAAGTGTTACTGAAGAATTCCCTTTGCAACCTGGTCTGTTGCTGTAGTTTAGCTCTACTGTGAGGGGTTTGGGACATGACTGATGGACCAACTTGCAGAGGTGTTTTAGGTCCTTAATTCTTTCATATTGTATGGAGAACTGTTGTAGCAGAGGCATGGAAATACCACCCAACCAAAGTGTTCAGTTAAATACATCACCAGGATTGGAATGTGTTCATTGTGCCTATTTATTAGGAGGTGAACCCCGGGATGCTCAGTCATACCAAGCATCTCTTTCCAGCCTGGCTTCAGCAGTCTGCTGTGTAAGACCCATTGGATGAGAGGCACCCACTGAACCAGAATCCCACCAAGGTTCTCACCCCCCATTGAAAATGGAGTTAACAGAAGTTAGAAAAGCTGACTTAGAGAAAATGTGAACCTGGACTTAAACTACTCCAGGATTTTGGCATTTAGCAGGGATTGGAGAAGGCCGCTTTTCATTCTCTTCTGAAAAGTAGAAGTTAAGGAGAGGTTGACAGGAAATAGGTTAATTTTTGGGAACATAAGGTCTCTAATAATTGAGGAATGCTTTTGCACCTTCTAGTCTTCCAGAGGGTAAGGGAAGAAAAGAATTCAGACATTATAGATATGTTTTGGGCTGAGCAAGCAGTTTAGAAATGGTCACAGAGCACCTTTAATTCAAAGTGTTGAATTTATATTCAAAAATAAATGTAGGAGAGATAAGTTTAAGATGCTGGAGGAGGAATTGGAGTTCCTAAATGTAGCTGGTAAAAGCTTTGGGTGAATATAACCACTTTCATGTTTTTCTTGTTGCCTTGCAGGTAGGATTGAAAATTCTTCTGCCTTGTCCCTAAAGCAGAATAGAGGTTTGCTTTAATAAAGCAGCATCAATATTGCTGTGTTAAATATTGCTGGGATACAAAGAAAGAATCCTTCTCTCTGCCAGAGCAAGATGCCCTGCTTGCATCTTCAGTTCCCTAGTGCTCCTGAAGTGGAAATAGTTCTGTTGATGTGAGACTGCTGTGCTCTCCTCGAGCTTCCCCATCCTGCTGCCTGGCAGTGGTCTCTTCCCTGCGTCCGCCCCCTTCTTTGGGTATTTGCTGGAACATTGTTTAGGTTGCAATTCCTGGGAGCACTGGGCATGCATCCTGGGTCTGTCGCATTGGATCTTTGCATGCAGGGTGAAAAAATAACCATAGAATCATCACAGAAGGGACCTTAAAGCTCCTCCAGCTCCAACCCCCTGCCACGGGCAGGGACACCTTCCACTAGAGCAGGTTGCTCCAAGCCCCTGTGTCCAAGCTGGCCTTGAACACTGCCAGGGATGGGGCAGCCACAGCTTCTCTGGGCACCCTGTGCCAGCGCCTCAGCACCCTCACAGGGAAGAGCTTCTGCCCAAGAGCTCATCTCAGTCTCCCCTCTGGCAGGTTCAAGCCATTCCCCTTGGCCTGTTCCTGTAGGCCCTTGTCCAAAGCTCCTCTCCGGGTTTCTTGTAGGCAAACCCTCTCCACAAAATCCAAATTGACAGATAGAGCAGCTTGTGTGATACTGGTTGGGGAGCAAAGCAAAGTTTGACTTTAAAACTAAACAAAACCTGCCAAAACCCCAAAAGTCACCAAGCTGATTTTCCTTATACCATGGGAGAACAATTGCAAACTTAAGCCCTATGAAAAATGATTTTCTTGACATGATCAAGAGATGCATTTATGCACTAAGAAATGTTGCTTTAAACCCACAAAACCTCTTACAAAAATATGGATATTGTTCTGTTATTGCATCATAAGAGTAAAAAATGAGTCATTCTGAGTCTGGGTCATGATGGAGCTTGTCTTTCATCTGAGCTACAGCTTTACATCAGGCTGCAACCCAAGTTTGGCACACTGTTCATGGCACTCGTGTTATCGCTGCTGCTGTCAGGCTCTAGGGATGCTCGTGGTTTACACTCACTGTAGGTCTGTGCTCCTCTTTCAGCACTTCCATGCTCTTGAATTCTGTCAGCTCCCTTTAGGTAACTTTCAAAGCTGTGAGTTTTCATCAGATTCATTCAGGTTTGCTATTAAATTTCATGGGAGACAACAAAGCCTTCACAGGCAGGCATGAAGTTTGGCAAGGCCCCAGTAGGATACGTCGCTTGGTGCCAAATCCTTTCTTTTCCCCGGCTATCAATGAAGCTGTTGTGGTAATGTGGGTTTTGTGAGCTGTGAGAATTTATGTGCACAAAGGGACCTGCTCTTTGCAGGGAACACTGGGAGCCCTGAGTCCAGGAGGAAGGGTAATTAAAGTTAATGAACCAGGGTAACCTTTCCATGGTGATGACCACTATCCTGATGGTAGGTAAGGGTCAGGGACTATTCCCATTTTATACTCACGCTTCTAACTCTGCTCTTTAATTGGGGTTGGATTAAAAATTGGCCATTTACCTCCCTAATAGAAGTGGTTTGTGGATTTTAAAGGGAGTTTTTCAAAGCTCTACAAGTCTTCAGTGGCTTGTTCTTCTTGGACCTGGCTTTGTGTTGTGTTTAAATGCTGTCTAAAACCGAGGTATTTTTAGCATTGGAGACCAGATAGTGATGTTTCTGTAACAGAAGCAGCTTTAGTTATCTCTCCATGTCAGGACAGAGACTTATTCCTTAAATGCCTCCCACATTCAGAGCCTTCATCTGGTTTTATCAGTGAGTCTGAGAAGCCTTAGAACTTGCTGTGCACAGTGCAGCTGTGGGTTTAAGGTGATAGGCTCTGAAGATAGACCTGAAACACTGACTTAAATCTCTAACTCGTCTACTTCCTCGCTTTTGTGGCATCAGGTAAGTTACTTTAGGCAAGGCATATGTTTCCCTTGAAGAGGACTTCATAGCTGAAGTGAGTTTTTCTTTCTAAGGGATGGACTAAACAGCAACGCTTTGCTGCTGCTCTCTCTCAAGTCTTTCTAATGTATGGATCTTGCACCAGACGGATGCAAGCTGAGATATCACTGATAGGCTGCAATGCACAGTATCCAAAATGTTAACTATTGTTCTGTCTTGAATGTTAATCAGGAGGCTGTGGGTTTGGTTGTAAATGTAGAAACAGCAGATGACTCCTTGGGAATTGGCTGTCTATCAATCCCAACAAGTTCCTTTACTAAACCAAACCAGATTTCTTTGTCCTGGTGACTGGTTCCATTCAAAGTAAGAATCAGTTTCAGTTTCTCTTCTGATTGTTTGTCGCAGGTGTCTCAGAGGTATTGGCCTGTTTAAAGACATCTTTTAACAATAAAACTAACACGTTCTTCCTGTTTATTTATAGAAACTGTCTATTTGTTTGGTGGCTGGGATGGAACTCAGGATCTGGCTGACTTCTGGGCATACAGCGTGAAGGAAAACCAGTGGACCTGTATATCCAGGGACACTGAGAAAGAGGTAAGTCCTGCCAACGCCCTGTTGTTAACATATGAATTGTTGAGCAGAAAAATGCTTGAGGGGCTTGTATTGATATATAACATACAGTGAGAGCCACAAAACACAGACCCTCAACTTCTGAAGGCTTGTAGAATGCTGACATGGGGAAAATATGAATGTGGAGTGTTGAGATGACTGGAGGGGAAAGGTTTATTTCTCAAGAGTAGGTTGATCGGCCAAGAATCGCTTCAGTGAGTAGAACTTGAGGTAAATAATTTGGTAGGGACTGAGCACACAGAGTTGCTGATAAACATTTCAGACCTGATGCTGGTGTTAAGCTTCAGAAACAAATTGCTTGTTTCTTTTCTTTAATCTACTATCCAAAAGGAGTAGCAATGGACAGCTAACAGCTGGAACTCTCTAGAGTAGCTGCCAGAGGCCACGCAATCCCAAGAGCTTTTGTGGTATTCATCTGAGCCATTTTCCTTGGCCTGTTTTGCTCAGTGTTTGACGTATGAACCCTCTGAAATGAATGTAGCTTGGGTTAGAGGAGGTAACAAAAAGAAGGTCCAAGACCTTTGGCTTGTGTAATTCATTTTGCTGTGAAATGTTAAAGTTCCATGTGGTTACTGTGTTTTGGGTTCTTACTTCAAGCGCATAACTTCAGGAACTTCGTGTAGCCTCCTCTTGAAGGTATGAGAAGTTGGAGATTCTACCACTTTCTGACAAATTCAGTAGCTGATTTCCTCAACTATTTGAAAAGTCTAAACCCACCCTATTTCCCACTTGTATTTTTCCAGTTGCTTGTCACAGCTGATTTGTGAGCTTCCATCCCAGGTTAAACAACACTTCAATATTGCTCTTTTTTCCTGGCGAAGGTGGTTAGAGGTTGTAAGCAAGTAGGACAAATAGCCTGAGCTGAAAGAGTCTCCCAGTAAGGCACTTCCTGTAGCCTTCAAACCTCTGTGTGTGTGTCATGCACTTACTGACTCTGACATCCTTTGCAAAATGGGCAGTAACAAAACTGAACTGACATTCCAGTTTCTATAATAGAGCTGTATAAAGTAAAATTGTGCTTACATTTCATAGCCTTGTCAGTTGGTTTTACTCCTATTGTAAGTTGTTTTTTCACGCTTAGACCTTTCATCATTGCTTGTGACTACAAGAGAATGGTTTGGGTTGGAAGGGACCTTAAAGATCATCTAGTTCCAATCCCCTGCCACGGGCAGGGGCACCTTTTTGTGTTTAATGATACAATGCTGAAGGTGGGTTTAGCCTTCAAGGCTCCATTTCCCTGTTGTGTTGCCTCTGTTCGTCTTGAACCATGGGTTTTCCTATTTTCCTCGCTGTTGACTCAGCAGGTAACCTATTTTTAAGATAAGGAAGGGTGTGCATGTGACATAATAGCAAGTGGGAACTGGGTCTCATCCCTGTCATGGTTAAGCCCAGCCGGTAACTCAGAACCACG